GCTGATGCACTGCACTCTAGCACGGGCAACAGAGTGAGACTCTATCTCATAAAAAAAAAAAAAAAAAAAAAAAAAAAGAATGCAAAGAAACTTTCCTCCCAAGCTGCATGTACATTCTAGGTGGACTTTAGAAGCTTGTGCTGTTTTTTGTGACTGTAAATGAGCTTTCACAAGGCCCCAGAACTGGGCTTCACGGACAAGCAGGAATGAGCAGTGCACAGCTCTAATACTTTTGACAGAATGGGAGCAAGAGAAATAATTTCATTCATTCCTAATTTGTACACAAACCATCTAGAAGACTCTCAGCTCTGCTTTTAGCAGCATCTGTACACTAGGTTTTTTTCAGACGAAAATTAGCTAGGGTAAAATAAAATGTATTCCAGCATGAGCCGTTTCATGTGAAAATCTGCAGAGACAAAAAGTAAACAATCTGTATGGCGTTTTTAAATTGTAACAGTAAGTACTAATGCGTATGATAGTACTAACGTCGGGCAGTAAATCAGCCGTCGCGGTGACTTATTGCAACTATGGCCAAAGCTCCAGCACTCCAGACAGCGGCGTTTTTATGCTGCCAGCAGAAAGGTCTTTTTTCATCGACCCTCTTACCAGAGATCAAGCTTTTATTCCATTAGTATTCAGCATTTCACCAGTCTTTTACCTTAAAAAGTGGCCATTTTACACGATTCGACCTAATATTTGATAAATATGAACTTTTAAAGGGTTGTTTTGGAATGAAAACATGCGTTTCTCAATTTGCTGTTCATAGGAGAGGGACTGTCACTGTCAGATATCTGAGTGCTTCGCTCTGTTTCCTTAAGGTTACATAACCGGTTAAGTCGATTCAAAGGTACCCAGTGGCTTCCTGGTGTCTGCTGGAATAAACGCACAGCCTCCAAATTGTAAGAGAAAAAGCGAGCGGTGATGGCTCCCTCTGCCGGTGGAAGATAAAAGAGTCCTCAGATGGAAAGCCAGGAAGGAGGGTGGTGGAGTTAAAAAAGGATCAAAGTGAGAGAAAAGAGAGAAGTAGGAAGAGAAGCAGAAAGAGAACATGGGGGAGGGGGAAGGAGAAATGAGAGGAAAATCAATGAAAAGAAAAGATGGAAAGAGGAGAAGACAGTCGGCAAGGCCAGACAGCAAGAAAGCTAAGTAGAAAAATCAACAAGAAATGGGCAAATGAGAATTAGTAGCAAAGGCTAAAAACAAAAAAAAAAAGAAGAGATGTTAAGCATACATTTCATGGCTCATATCCACAGTAACCCTGAGAGTATTGGCCATTTCCCCCCGGGAGATGCTCAAACAGGGACCCTGACTATGAAGGTCATCAGCCCATCCTTCTTGGAATTTTGGCAGTGTGGAAAAATGAGGAAATACTCTCTCTTTTTCTTAAATAGCAGACATCCCTGAATCATTTTATATCTGAGTTTTTTCTAAGAAGGGGATGTTTAAAACAGGCAAAGTTATGAGCATTTTATGAGAATCATAAATTCCATCAGGAAAATTCACAGCATTGAATATGCAAGAGTCCTGTGGTCTCCCACGCCAGCGCCTCCATGAGCCCACAGGAGGTTGCCATGGGCAGCACCCTGCAGGGCAGACCATGGTCCTGGCGTGCCCCAAATGGACTGGCCTTCTAAACGGAAATCGGTCCGAATGTGGCAAACTATTTTCAAGCCACAGGCTATGATACAAGCAGCCCGTCCTGCCAGCACAAGCTCTTGGAAACTCAACAGACCGCTGTTGGTGACCACTGTACCTGAGAAGGTTCTCATGGGTGCCCACAAGCTCTTTGCCGGGCTTAGGGGGGAGGCAGGTGATCAGGGAAGAGGAAAGGGGCAACCGATGGAGGTGCCAAGTGGAATATTGGACAAGGAGGACAAGGAGGGGGAGCAAGAGACTAGAGACAGAGAGGCTGTGGGATGAGGAGAGCCCACGGCTCCCCTCAGGCTCCTCTCCTGTGACCTTGAACATCTCTTCCTGCTCTATTCTCCACCATATTTTTCTGTGAGACCTTAGGAGCCAGTCAGAAGTAATCAGGCAGATCCCCAAAATAGAATTTGCCAATTAGTTTTCAATAAAAAAGGCTTTGTTCAGGTCAACAGAGACGAGCAAATCTAATTTGTAATTTCCTTGTTCCTTGGAGCTGGGGATGTTGTGTGGACAGAAAGTACTAGAATGAGTGAAGGCTCCAGAGGGGAGGGCGGAAAGGGAGACGCCGTCACCCGGGAGGCTGGGCTGGGAGGCTGGGCTGTGGCGCGGGCTGGGGGCCCCCAGCTGCAGCAGCGCGGTGTCTCTGCCAGCGAGAATACGCACGGCGATGTTCGTGACGCATCCTCTGCAAGCACGGTCTATCCAAACCCTGGCATCGTCTCCAGAAGACGGATGTTTAATCAGCAAGGCTGCTCTTTCCCCGCCGCTGCCCTGGCGAGGCTGAGCCACGTCTCGAACAAGCTGACAGCATCGGAGCGCGTGACAACCTGCACAGACCACGGCCGTCTGCGGCCTGACAGCCCCTTGCTCAGCACCACCCCGCAGAAAGGGCCTGCGCCCAGGGCGGAAACTCCCTGCAGCTGCGTGGTCCCCCGCCCAACAGTTTAAAGGGTTGTTAATGCTCAACAGTCAGCCCCTTCCAAGCACTTTTTAGTGGCCTTTGCCCCCTAGCTCCTGGGGTTTTGGGGTTCCAGTGATGGGGATGAAGTGATAGAAAAGTGGTGATCTTCACTGAGATTTGCTTCCCCTCCTTAAAGCTCCACTATGAGCTTTACTCTGGCCTGGAACCAAGGTCTTTGAGTTTCTAACATCTGCAAATTCCTTAGGGGCTGCTGCCCCTCCACGTTCTCCTCTAGGCCTGGGGCCGGCGTAGGGCATGGCCCACCACCTGTGGTTTAGAAAGGAACCCATGAGGCTTGGAGCAGATGAAATAAACGCCCAGGGATTTGCAGGCGAACTCTCTCCCTCCCCTTAAGGCCGGTTCTGCCGCCGGTTTCCCTGGACGGCAGGTGTGTGGCGGCAGGCCTGGGTGTGCCGCTGGTCCGGAAGAGGCTGCAGTGCCTCAGTCACACGGCCGTTGGTGTGTGGTTCTTTAGGAACTCTAGCATTCTGAAAAAGAGGAGGGGACAATAAGCCAAGTAACGTTTTTTTAAGCGCCTGCCGTGCGTCGGATGTGCAACAGTGGAAAGAGGTTTATCCCAGCTTCGAATCCTGGCTCCATCCCTTGCTTTCGTCTGTAAGCTGTTGAGCAAGCCCCCGCCCCAGCTCAGCACCAGGGCCTTCTTTTGTAAAGAGGGAACACATGCTTGTTCCAAGAACTTCTGAAGAAATGGAGGGAGCGCCCAGCCTGCTGCTTGAACGCAGAGGCACGATACGCTCACCTGTTACCCATCCTGGTCCTCCTCCTTCCCACAGAAACGCTGCCTCTGAACCTCACTAAGGAGGGACTGCGCCGGCGCAGGTGTGGCACTTCCACGGCCTCTGAAGTCTGTCCCAGCTGTTCTGACACTCGCCCGTGGTCCAGGGACAGGGTGTGCAGAGATATCAGGGCTCCCCATCCCATACGCTGGAAACGTCTTATGCTACTGTCTTTGCCCCAGGATTCCAGTCAAACAAAAGGCACAAGATATATGTAACATGGCTTAAGAACACTTAGAAGAAAAGGAACTGTCTCCTCAAATGTTGGCATGATCAAACCACAGAAGCTCAATGGATGGTTCTTAAAGCTGATGATAATTTACCAATTCTAGGCTTTTACAGAACAGTTCGGTCTGACTGTCCAGGGCTTCTGCTACCCCTATATTTTCTTTTCTTTCTGTGGTAAAATAGACATAAAATTTACCATTTTAGCCATTTTTAAGTGCACACCTCAGTGGTATCAAGTCATATTCCTGTTGTTTTGCAACCACCACACCGTCCTTCTCCAGGGCTCCTTCCCCTTCCCCAGCGGAAACTGCACACCCATGAAACACTGAACCCCCCCCCCACGCCCAGCCCCGGCACCCCCCGGTCGACTTTCTCTCTACGCCACTCGGCTGCTCTGGGGCTCTCATGTATCAGTGGAATCACACAGTATTTGTCTTTCTGTGGCTGGCTTGTTTTATTTGGCGTGGCGTCCTCGAGGGCCGCCCCTACTGCGGCGTGTGTCAGACTTCCCTTCCCTCCTAAGGCTCAAGAACCCTCCGTGTGTGCAGGTGGCACATTTGTCTGCCCATTCACCCAGCAGGGGACACTCGGGCTGCTGTCACCTTTAGACTTACTGTGAATAATGCTGCTATGAACATGGGTGTACAGGTCCCTGTGTTTTTAAAATGATGCAGTAAAAATGGGCCAAGTGTGGTGGCTGACACCTGTAATCCTAGCACTCTGGGAGGCCGAGGCGGGCAGATCGCTCAAGGTCAGGAGTTTGAAACCAGCCTGAGCAAGAGCGAGACCCCGTCTCTACTAAAAATAGAAACAAATTAATTGGCCAACTAAAAATATATTAAAAAAACTAGCCAGACATGGTGGTGCATGCCTGTAGTCCCAGCTACTTGGGAGGCTGAGACAGAAGGATCGCTTGAGCCCAGGAGTTTGAGGCTGCTATGAGCTAGGCTGACACAACAGCACTCTAGCCCAGGCAACAGAGCGACACTCTGTCTCAAAAAAAAAAAAAAAACCATGATATGGTAAAAATGGTTTTCAACACACAGGAAAGTAGCCTCAGACTGCCATAGGTGGTCAAAGCCCATAACTGTACATGGGATTTTTAAAAATTACATCCTCTAAGTTGGGAAGGAAGGCCATGGGCACCACAGCCTGTTACTCCCTGGAGGTGTTCGAGTGGGTCATTTAGGAGCCAGGTGTTGGTATTTGCCAGGTGCTGGTGTCTCCAGCTGCTCAGGGCTACTGTGCGCGCTCCCTGCCTGGACTGACTGAGGTGTCACTAACGGTTTCTCTCTTCTCACACCCGCCCTCCCCTCCCCGCCCCTCCCGCCCCCGCCTTCTCTCTGCTGCCTCCTGCTGCTCTCCAGTGTGACCAAGACCAGTGCATTCAGAGCACCAAATTCGTTTTGCAGGCCGCGGCCACGCCCCTGCTGCAGAGCGAGCCCAGCCTCACCAGCGACGAGCTGCACCTGCCCGGCAAGCCCGGCCTGGGCACGCCCTGTGCCAGCCTGACGCTGGGCCCGCCCACGCCGCCCTCCTCCATGCCCAACCTGGCCGCCGAGGCCGCGCTGGCCGACGTCCTGCCCCGCAAGGAGGACCTCGTGGCGCACCAGTTCCTGACCCCGGATGAGGCGCCTTCGCCGCCCGGGCTGCTGGCGGCGGGCAGCCCCCTGGCACACAGCCGCACGGTGCACGTGCTGGGCCTGGCCAGCCAGGACTCGCTGCACGAGGACTCCGTGCGCGGCCTGGTGAAGCTCAGCTCCGTGTGACCTGCCTGGGCCTGGGCTGGGGGCAGCGCCCTTCTCCCCACCGAGTGCCGCAGACCAGGTGACGACAGCCCCGGGGCCGAGGTGACAGCCCCGGGTCCAGGGTGCAGAGAGCCCTCGGAGAGTGGACGGAGCCCCCGCTGATGGCAGAGGGCGGCGGGACCCAGATGCTTAGCGCTTGGTTTTATTCGGATTTTCTTCCCCACCCTGAGCGCTTTGACAGAGATGAAAACAGAGAAGCAGCTTTTTTCACATGCTCCGAACCTCAAGGGAGGGCCTGGGCACGGGGCAGCCTCCAGGCCTGGCATCGGAGCCGGGGAAGAGCAGACGCTGCCTGGGCGTTACACGGCCGTCTGCTGGCCTTGTGACAGACACGGGGAGGTGGCCGGACTGAAATCGCACTTAAGTGTTATGCTACTAATATTTGAAATAGACACGCCATTCCATTTGTTAATCAAAACAACAAAAAAACCTGACGGGGAAAAGCGAGCAGGTGTGGATCTGCATGCCACACTGCCGTCTGTGCTCCAGTGATGTTGGTATTCCAAAGGAAGTGCTGCTCTCTCTCTCTTTCCTTTCTTTTTTTGATTTTGTGAGTTTTCCTGTGCTGTTCTGTTGGAAGACAGTACAACAAGCCGAGACTGATGGACAGTGTCGCCACTCGTCTGCCTCTGGGCTGAGGCGACTGTGGGCAGGTGGCTGGGCTGCAGGGGGTGGCCGGGGTCCAACCAGGGTCACTCACCTCTGTGCAGCAGGTAGATGAGGCTGTGTGTTGTGCGGCCCCACCAGAGACTTCACCTCCTTGTGTGATGGAACTTCCCGTGGACAGCCAATAAAATGACGTCCTCCGTTGTTTTGGGTCTGTGTACAGTTATCCTTAAAACACAGTCATCTGGAGGGTCCAGGAGAGTTTGTTTTTACTGAAGTATCCCTAGCAAGAAATGGTCCCAGAACAACCCAAAATCAAATTTTTGAATTGGGAGATAGGTATAGGATGATTTTCTAGACAAGAGACTAGCTTTCCATCAGGTTCTTTTGTTCTTTAATCATCTCTTTCTGACACAGTCTTGCAGAATTTGCTGTACATTTGCAGACGGCCATGTAGTAGTTAATCTGTGGTCAGTGCAAGGGAGGGGGTGTCCAGGGAGAAGGGGTGCTGCCTGGCCGTCCTCTGGGCTCCACGATGTGTTAATGTGTCACCAAACATGTAAGCAAAACTTGAGGTCTTAGTAAAGGTGTTAAAAAACGAGGAGGAGAAACCAGCCTAAAGTTTGGGCTGAGATCATGTAGACTGTCATTCTTACATGGATGCTAATCAGAATGGAATTAATAAAATTGTCACCTCATTTACTTTCATTTATCACCTAGGAAGGACCTGGCTTTGTACTTAGGAAGTAAGACACTTTGGAGGTACCTGCAGGGTACTCAGCAACTTCTCTCCTGGCTTCTTTGCAGGTGATAAATCTAACAGCCAAATCTACTCAAGTTCAAAATCATGCTCTTATTCCTTATGACCGTATGAAAGACAAGATGCATTGATCATTGATACAAGAAACCCCAAATGACTTGCATTTATGGAAAAAGGCTGTCTCTCCTGGGAAGGAATTGCCATTTTATATAAAAGGAAAAGAAAGAAGAAAAGAAAAAGAAAAAAAAGCAGTTTTCAAGTCTTATTTGGAACAAAGGCAATTCACAGATCAAAAAATAATTTATGCTGCAAAAACCTGCAGAATTCTTGCATTATGATATATTTGAGCTATGTTTATTTTCCATACTGCATGCATGTATAGAAAATGGAAAAGGTAAACCATGTGTAGTCATGTTTTATTTTCAGGACCACCTAACCGCTTATGTCCACTTGTAAGTTATAATGAGCGGGACACACCCAGGCACGCTCGCCGTCACCAACACACAGGGATTCTCCTTGCACTCGCTGCCTGTGAGCACAAAGTGACAGCCCCACAAAGGAGCTTCCACAGCCTCCCACATTGTCTCTGCCCCTTGCCTCCCCACATTCTCTCCCCAGACGCCCCAGGAGGGAGTATCCCTGATGGGAAGGGTGCTCAGAGGGTGGCCGTGAGCCTGGCTCAGCATGTGTGGCCCGGTCCACTCCCAGTTTCCTCTGCTAGAAGACAGAGACAATGGTCTGTAGAGCCCTTTCATGCCCAACATTTCCTAATTCTATGGTTGCTGATTTCCTATGACCAGCCCTTCTTCCCGCCTCATTATGGAAAAACCCAAGAAGCGAGGGTCATTATTCACGTGCCCTCACACAATGACTATTTACTCAATATTTATTATCAATTCCCTCGGCCCTGTCTCTGTGGCTATGTGGCATCATGTATCGAAGCGAGGATTGGGGATTTGGTGACACAAATCAAGGCTATTCAGGGTCAAGAGGGAGATTAACTTGAACAGGCCAATTTGCTGAGACAATGTTTTATTAATTGTCTTGAAACCGGAGAGATGCCCATGGCCCTGTCCGTGCTCCCAGGGGCTCCCCGCTCTGTGGGGCTGGAGGGCCAGGCTGGGGTGACTTGCTCAGGGAGGCGATGGCTCTGCCTCTCCCATCGCAGATAGGCACGTACACAGGTGGCGAGTGGCTCCAGCCAGCCTCGGCTGAGTAGACCTTGATGTTTCTAAGTTCTTTCCGTGTGTTGCCCATTGACTGCATGCTAGCTATAAAAAATAAGATAAATATTTTACCATGCTATTAAAGCTTGGGCCATCATCACACACACAAGCACACACACTCGCACACTCACTCTGTTGTTTAAGAATTCATCGGCTCCCATTTTCCCAGGAGCGCGCCAGGGGACCGCGGGCTTCCCGGCGCTGGGCACTGGAAGGCTGAGCTTAGCCTGAGTGCCCTGGTCCCTGGGCTGGGGGGACGGAGCAGGTGGGTGGCAGACAGACTGCGTCTGGGAGCGCCGATGACACGTCACTCTGTGCCTGCGCGTGTACATAACATGTCATGTTTTCAGAAATATGTATGCCAGCATCTGGGCGGTGCCCAGGAGAGAGGTGCTCACGCCACCTCTCCAATGTGGTTGTTCCAGCCTGTGAGAAGGGGGCCAACCACGTAGCTGTTCTGGCCCATAACAGCCCAAAGGAGGAGGCTTTCCGCCGCACCCCTGCGTGCGCTGCGGCCTTCACCTCTTGTGTCTCAGGTTGCTGACTCGGCTCCCAAAGGAGAGGAAAACCCCCCTTTTAGGGGCCTTGTTCCTGCCGAGACCTGACGGGTCGGCCCTCTGGTGCTGTGAAAGCCCCCGGGCCCAGGGCTTCTCATCTGATTCAACAGCAAGAAAAATGAATTGGCCAAAATCAGCAGTGGGTGCCCTTGGCCCCGGGGCTTGTGATGGCATCTCCTGGAACGTGCTAGAACCTGAGGCACTCAGAGGCTGCGAAGGGCACACCCTGGCGGGCCGCTCCTGAGGGTCTCGGGCCTCTCTGCCCACCCCGGCAAAGGCTTCTCTGTAACTTCACCGCCCCGGTCCGCGCTCAGCAGCAAGCCGTCCGGTTCGTGCCAGGAACCCACTGTTCTCACCCTCGGCTTGGGGCTTTTGAAGTTCGTTGGAAGGTATCCTTAATATTACCTTTGAATATTTAAAGGATTTAGTAGGAATCTTTCCAGCAGTAGTTGTCCTTCGTTCCCCCCCAAGAGTACACTGTTGAGCCCACTTCGCTGTTGACCAGGTAACAAAGAATCAAGGGGAGCAAATGTGAAATATACCTTCTAGTTAATGCCTTACAACTGTCTGAAAGCTGAGCCTAAATCAAATCAATGTTTACATTTTTTATTAAATCCGTATGGGGTTGGGAGTCTAGCATATTCTTGTCCAAATGAGTGAGACCTTCAAATAAGTTCACCTTCCCCCCCTACACCCCACCCCCGGTCCCTCTGCCGGCTCTGGAGGGCTGTGTGCCCCATCCTGTGCTGTTCCGAGGAACCTCACAAGAAAGAAAAACTGCCTCCCTCTCCCTCTCATGAGAATAAGTTATTGAAATAGTAAGTGATCTCAAGTGTCATTTTCTTTCAGATAAATGTCAAAAATGCTAATAATTTTGTAAATCAGTTCATCCTCTGTCCGTTTGCCCATTGTGCCTGGTCTTGATGATGCAGCCGAGAAGGATTTTCAACATCTAGGTGGTTAGCACGTTAATCCGGCCATAAAAAATAATTGGGAGACTGAAGAGTAGATTGTTTCTGCCACGAAACTAGATAAATGGCTTCAACTGGAATTATTTTTCAATCTCATAAACCCCAGGAATTACATACAGAGTGGATCGGGAAGCAGCTGAGCATCTGGTGCTACTGCAGAGACTTCCTGTCGGTTGTAGAATTTTTAAAGGAAGCTTGGTATGGATGGTGAGGATAGGAATGAACAGCTCTTAATTGCCCTCGATATTTTAAGATATGTAAACCAATAGGCCACATGGCATGTCCAAGGAGACATGTTTTCTGGGTTCTGCATGAACAGAGATGGTTTTAGCATACAGTGAAAAAAAAAAAAAAAGGTTGAAGCCTTGCTAACCTTTGCCCAGAGCATTCTGGGTTGTATTTGTAGTAGTTGCAAATACCAAATACCAATAGTTGCAATTTTGACATAAGAAAGTAAAAAAAAAGAATTTTAAATTCTTAGTGAATTCAAAGCCCTAAATCTGAACAATGGTGAACGTGTGTACATAACATGTCATGTTTTCAGAAATATGTATGCTTATTCAAGTGCCTTTCATGTCTTAATCAATGTTTGCAGAATTGATCTTAAACCTGAAATGAATTAAGAAAACATTTTCCTCCTTCAATAAAAACTGCTAATGGCATAAAATGTAAATTTCAGTCTTTATAAGGTCAATATTGCCCAGGTCAACAAGATGTAAAGACTAGTAGGATCGCCTTGGGCTCAGGGAATATGCACTGTGTAGACAGCCATTTGTATAAGAGTGTGGATTTTCTGATCACAGATATCCAGACTGGTGTCCTCCAGCTGTGGTTCTCAACTTTTTTGTTTCATGAGTAACTATAGAGCAATTCAGAAATTCAACCCCCCTAATCCGCTTGTTCTATGTTCCACCTTCTATCCCCCCACTTCCCAAGGACACCTCTCCCTTCCGTAACATACAGGACCTCAGCTAGGGACCTCGAGAAGGGAACCTGGTCACCTCCAGACACGTCTGCTCCCCTGCGACGTGGCACTTCCTCGTGACCAACAGGGTTCTTCTGTGTATTTCCAGGAACTGATGCGTGAGCTTCCAGCCGACACGGCTGAGCTATTTCTAAATTCCATATTAGTAAAAGGAAGGGACTGGCATTTGTTTCCGCCAAACACCTCCGTATCAGTTCGCAGTGGGTGGCATCTGCTGCTGAGAATTATTCCTCAGGCCCTTTCTTCGGCGTCCTTCCCCCGCCAGGAAGGAGAATGAGTCACTGCGAGCAGTGGAGGGGGTGGTGCTTTATCTAAATCTAAGGGGGGAGCAGGAGATCTTTTTCTTTTTTTTCTTTTTCTTTTTTTTTTACAGCATCTACTTCCTTTTCTGTAACCCATGGTAACCAGCTGACTCCATCCAATGCTCACTGTTTCACGCAAGAGCCGGCGAGCGAGCACACAGATAACTGTGGACGACATCGGGAATCATTTGCCTGGGCTGGATTCTGGGTGGGTTTCGGAGTGGGCGCGGATGCTGACGCGCTTGAGAGCAGGTGGGCGACCTGTAGCGCTAGCACGACGCCCTCAAGTAACCCCAGAGCGAACACACGCCTAAGCGAGACGCATGCACACACCGAGAGAGCTCAGCGTGGATCCTTGCTACTAATCCACACGCCTGTGCCATCCCTGTGTCACACAAACACGGTGACAATAAGCAGTGGAGTATGAAAATCATAGGCTTTTAAAAAAAATTTTATGCCAAGAGATAAAGGGAGAAAACTCTCTGCTTAGTCTAGTCAGAGGACATGATGAGCTAGGAGCAGGTGACTGATCTGCAGACCTCGACCCCAGCCAGCCCCCAGAAGCTCGTCCTGGCCTGGGGTTCAGACACATAGGAATCTTGTTCAAGATCCCCCCCAGAGACAGGAAGTCACTTTAAAGACAGGTACCTAACACTGTCTCCCACTTCGGGGTGGGTGCCCTGAGTGGGTCATGAAACCAGTCTAGGGGGTACAGACCCACACTCTTCTTTCTAGATGGATTGGCCAAGAACAGGAAGGTTAGAGTGGCGAGTGCCAGACCCTTTGCCTGTAACAAGGGGAAGCAACGTGCTGGGTCATGATATGCATACATTTTCTTGCCATAGTCAAAATGAAAATTTGAAAAACTGCTGATCTAGTTCACCCACTCCTGCCCGATCTTACCAGAGAGAACCCTGGAAACCAGAAAGCTGGGCTGTCGTGTCCGAGGTCACAGCACTGGTAGGCACAGAGCTGGCACAGAGAGTGGGTCTGTGCTCCTCCGGCCATCAGAGATAAAGAATAATTTTCACTTTTTTTAAAAAGTATCCTATCCATTGCACATTAACAGTTCCATTAAATATGATAAAAAGCAAATTGCTAGAAAAGTATAATTTAAAACAGGCAAACAAAAGAAAAGCCTCGATATCAATATTTCATTATTAGACTTAATAGACATGCTGTGTCCAGTTGCTGTAGATGTTCCTAAACACACACATCGGCTGCCGCATTTATCCATAAGAAGCGGCCCACGGATGGGGCCGGTCAGCTCGCCACGCTCAGCAGCCCTGTGCGCAGTAGGCAGTACCCTGGCCATAGACAGGTCTGGCTTCCGCCCTGCGCTGCTGGGAGATCATCTCTAAGCCCTCGGAATGTTCTGCCTGATAAGAGCACCTTTGCTCACCTGGCCCTGCCAGATCGTCTGTGCTGACAAGGCGGTTTATGGCCACACGGCGTCCGCTCCGGCCCTGGAGGGGCCGGGAGCTGAGGTCAGCCGTGGAGATGGTGGGCATGTCTGCGTGAGTAACCCCCAATAAAACTCTGCACTTCTGGCCTGGGCGGGCCGCCCTGGTTGGCGGTATTCCGTGCACATTGACACAATCGCTGTGTGCACAGCCCCGCAGGGACAGGACCCCTGGACGCTCTGTGCGTGCCATCTCCAGACCCCGCCCAGGTGCCTCTTCCCTCTGTCGGATCCTTTCACTGTAATCAAACTGAGTAGAAGGGCTTTGCCGAGTTCTGTGAGTCCCCCTAGCGAATTATCAAGCCTGAGGGCGGCCTTGGAGACCGCAAAGCTTACAGTCGGTGTCGGAATCAAAGGCGGTCTCAGGACTCCCGCACTTCACACCCTGGCACAGCAGCGCCCACGCCGTGTCCCGAGGGACCCAGTGAGTCCCAAACCTGCAACCTGTCCCACCCCCAAGCCAGCACCCCTAACACGCCGTGGCGCCGCCACCCAGGGCTTCTCTAACGGGGCAAGTGCGTCATCTGAGGGCAGCAGGAGTCGGGCGCACTGCGATTTTAGCAAACTTTTTTTTTAATTATATGAACTGGTAAGGAGCAGAAAGCAGAGGGCAAGTGGGTTGCAGTGGGAGAATGTGGAGGAGCAGGCAGGATAAGTCGACCCTTGTAAGAGCCATCAGGGACCCGGACTAACTGGTTAGTTTAGAAAAAAACAGAAAATGCATTGCGTATACTTTGGTTTGCTCTTAACACTGTCAAACTCAACATGCTTAGAAATATACAAGATTAGGGAAAATAAAGAGGAGTATTTGGGAGTTTTGTCCTCCTACTTTTCTAGGGAAACTATAAAATCCTTAAAGGAATAAATTGTTCCTGAAAAATGTCAGGAGGTGTGCCAGGCTTTGGCATCCTAAGATGCCATCTGGGAGGAGGAGGCAGGGGTGCTTGGGTAGCGGGAGGCGTCCTGCAGCCTGCCGGGCCTGGGACCACACATCGTTTCCTCCACGCCACCCCTCGAGCCCACGCCACCTTCCTCCCGCTGTTTGGAGGCACAGCAGCTCGCTTGGCCGTGAACTGACAGCAGAGCCACACGCAGGGCTGAGGCTGGGCGTCTGTGGGGCACACACCGGAAGGCCTGTGTGCTCACCCGAGTGGATCCCCTTGCACAAGGTCTCGCTTCTGAGGTTCTTCAGGAACCGGAAAATACTGTCATGAAGGATGAAGGTCACGTGCTGACAAGAAACCAGGGACGTACTGCAGGTCCCGCAGGACTGAAGTAGCAGCCGAAAGCCTGGCTCTCTGTAACTCCCTACTCCTCCCGCCTCGCCTGTGCCCAAAGCCGATGGCGGCAGAGCAGGAGATACTGCCAACGTCCCTTAAGCCCCGGGCCTCAAATTTTGGGGGTGAGAGAATCACCTGGAAGGCGAGTGAGAACACAGGCTGCCGGGCCACCCTCGGACCTTCTCACTCGCAAGTCCGGGGCTGCGCGTCCGCATTTCTAGTAAGTTTCCAGGGGAGGTTGGTGTCCCTGGTTTGGGGTCGTACTTGAGAGCCACTGCTCTGAAGAGTGGTGGGTTGGTCTGTTTCCGGCAGAAGGGGAGAGAGCTGGCAGGAGGTCAGAGTGACAAAGAGCCCAGGGGAAGAGGCGGAGTCAACGGGATGGCCTCCAAAGCCACTTACCTCCCCACCGATGCCTGTGGCTCTGCGCTGGAGCTGTCCAATCACGGACGTGGCCACACCTCGCCATGGGGAAGCCAGACTGGGGGAAGACTCCACTTCCCCGTCTCTAACTGGGCGTCGAGCGACACAGGGGGCCACGCGTTGGCCAGGAGCTGAGAATCCAGGGCGAACCGCCCCAGGCCCTGGCTGCTGACTCCCTCAGGAGCTGAACGCCTTCCAACTACAAACCAGCAATGGCCCAGAGCAGAGGACAGTTCCTGCTCGGGCTGGAGGCAGCCCGTCCCCCAGTGCCGGGTGAGCAGGACTCGCACGGGCTGGTCACGCGCTTGCTGCGCCCAACTTGTCCCTGGAAGGATGTACAGCGAGTAAGGTCAAGGATGACCCGCTCCAGCTCTATGTTGTGCCTCCACCCTCTGCTCGCTGCATCTGTGGACCTTCTCCGGGATCATGGCACAGCCCAGAAGTCAGTTCTTACCCTGGGGCTCCAACACAGCCTGCTGCGCAGCCGGAGCAGAGACAGCAGCATTGAGAGAAAAGCCCTTCCGAGGCTGCTGTAAGCAAGACCCAGAGGGAAGGCAGCCGCGGCCTGTTCCGCCACAGGGAGAAGCGCTGGGAGCTCCGTGTGGACTGAGGGAGGAGACGCTCCAGGGGCGGAGGGCAATGGGAGAGGGCAGCCCGCCCCCCTCCGTGGGTGTTGGAGGGACGCCAGAGCAGAGGGACAGGAGCCAAGTCTAAGGAGATGGCCAGTCTCCCAGCTGGCCTGAGAGCAGCTCGGGGAAGTCAAGGCAAGTCAGGGAGCGGCAGAGAGACGGGACAGCCCTTTGGCCAGATCCCAGCCCCTCGCTCCAAGGCCCCAGACGGGCAGAGAAGCACAGCTGCACGTGTCCCGTGCCCCAGCCACGCCCGGGGGGCGGGAGGTGCCCGTGTCCAA